TCAGGCTGAGCTCAGAACATGATTTGATCTGCCACAGCAAGTCAGGTTTCTGTCTGTCTGTTTCTGAAGAAAAGGGGGTTGATAAAAGCCTTAGCTGATGCACTTATGTGAGTTTGAGCCCTTCAGTGGATCAGACCACTACAAGTCTTGTCACAGCGTTATTTCACTGTACATCACTTTGCTTTTGTTGAGTTTTTATTCTGTGACCTTAGCTAGTTACATTAAGAGTCTGTGTTAAGTGAATTCCCAGTGTTTCACCTCTTCTGACAAGCAGTGGCATGTTTATTTCTGAACATATCGTCATTAAATACAATACACTAAAATGCTTTAATTACTGATGCTGTAAAATAAGTAAAACTGGTATAGATGTAAGCTATTGTAATTTGTAAGAGTGGTGTGTCTTTCAGAGCTAAGTGAGTTGAACTGGAAAATATTTCATCAGACGAATGAAAATTAAGCAACAGTTTTGAATGTGGTTCTAATATGATACATAAATAAGGAAACTCTAAAATTAAATCAGCATTCTTAAGAAAATGTAAATCCTTTTACTGATTACTTGTTGCTAGCAGAAAGCAACTGAGGTTTTCTGAATGAGTTACTTGTGACTGTACCTGTGATGGCAACGGCAGAGAGAGTATCTTGTCTGAATTATGCTTGCTTTCTCGTAAAATTTGCCTTACCATTCGTGAGAATCTCTCCACGAGTTCCTGGGGAATTGGTAGGGAGTTACCTTGTGCCTGGCTGAAAACAGGTAGCAGTGTCCACGAGATGGAAGCAGACACAAATAACTGGACATTTCAAAGCCTGCATAGAGCTCGTAGGCTTTTGTTGTGTAAGCAAATATATGCAGGTACTGTTTAAACTCTTGAATCTGCTGTGTTCACCTGGAGATTATTTTAATTTAATTTAATTTAATTTAATTTTATTTTATTTTATTTTATTTTATTTTATTAATATTTTCTCATTGTTATGTAGATTTCACCCTGGCAGTTTAATTTTCTCTGAACTTGCTGTCGTTTGGCATTGGTAGTCATTATGTGCACACGAGCCTATGCCTCCTGGGAAAGGATGGGTGAAAAGTTTCTTGGTTTAAATAGAAAAATAAACCAGATTGATCTTAAATCTGTTTATTGTTAAGTGTTGCATGTCTGAGAGAGGTGGGGGGCGAAACAAAATTTGAGACGTGAATTCACTATCATGTGTTTCATCATATGCTCACGTCCAGGTATCTACCTCAGTATCTAACTTGTTTGTCTGGCTGGTGCTGGAACCCTTTGTTTTTTGGAGTTCTACAGAGACTCATTATAAATCCTGAAGGAGGCAAAATACCCATCAACTTTGGTTTGAGTTTTGTTTGAAGGCAGACAGCAAGACCTAGTATGTGAATCAAAAACCTGGCAAGGCTAGGAAAGCACGGCTCAGTTAATACAAGCACTTGCATACATTACAGTGAAGACTACTTGCTGCCATGTTTATTTTATAGTAGAGTATGTCCACAAATAACAGAAAGAGTTCCTGTAGAAATGAGAGAAATATCTCAGTGCAGTGAACTTTGATGATTTTTGGAGTTCTGAATTTAGCGTTTGATTTCTCTGCAGCACTGAAGTTTCCTGTCTCACAAATTGGGCAGTATATACTGAAAATATAACAAACCTTAAAAATCATTTTTAATTTATTCAGGAAAGACCCATTTCTGACAGTGTGTGTCTCCTGTTCCTGGTAACTTGACTCAGGGCTCACAGAATTGGCTCCAAGGAGCTTGGGTTTACTGTTAGAGCCATGTCAGAGCTGTTGGTTTTTCCTCAGGCTAACAGTCTACATCTGATTTTTATTTGAAATGTTTTTCTTTTTCATATTTAGCCTGGCATTGTTTTATATGTGTGTGAATGTAGTAATTGGATGATAATAATAATTGGAAACTGATGCTTTTGAAGTTTTCCAAATGAGCAGGGTAAAACTCATGATGGCCCCACCTTGTTGCAGTGATTTCAGTACAGATAAGATGTTTTGGGGTGCTGTAAGGTACTTTTAAAACTGGGGGGTTTATAGAACATTACAGGTATCTTTTTGCAATATCTCTGTGGTCTTTGCATTTACTTCATTTACAGAACCACTAGAAGGCCAAATGTATATTTTTGGAGGGGACTCGGAGTCACTTGGAATGAAAGGAAGTTTGCATCCCCAGAGATGCACATGACCTGGTATCTGAGTTGCAAAAGAAAGCTAAAATATTGCAAAGCCTAATTTTTATGAAGTTATCAGCAAAGTAGTACCATGAGAAACTCCTGCCAACATGCTTTTTTGGTGTTACAGCAGAATCGCAGGAAACTAAAAAGCTAATGGATCTACCTCACCACGTCCAACTTCAATTTTTGGTTTTACTTTTATTTAACAGGAGTGGGACTCCAACTCCAGCTTCGGATGCTGATGTTACCACACTGAGAGGTCAGTTTTCAGCTAAATTATGTCAAGTCTGATTACTTGAAAATGGAACAACCTGATGGCTTGTGGATTTGAGAGCTGTGAATTCTTCCATCTCCAAATAATGCTGTTTGTGATCTGGTGATCAGGTTGCTGTTATTTTGTGATGAAATGAATTGAAAATGCTACTTGAGAAATTACTTCTGTGCAATTTTTACTGCACTTACTTCGTGTTGCCCAGAATACATTCTCTTAGAACATTAGCATTTGATTCTGACTAGCATATTTGATGCTTTTTCTGAGGCTCTTTGGGTGTTTTCTGTGGTATTTCTGTCATGATGATGGGAATCGAGTGTTACTGTTAGTTTACACTTGCTGAACTCGTGTGTATCTACATGTACATGAGAAAAAATAATACTACTGCTCTCTTGCAAACTCAGATGCAGCTGCCAACGTTCCTCCCCCTCATGAGGTGCCCATTGAGAGTCCTGCAGGTGGTACCATCCCTGAAACTGAAGATGCAGACACAACTGTGAGTGCTTGTATTAAGATTTCAAAAAAGCAGGGCATGAACCTTAGAAACTTTTAAATCATTTCCTAGGTAGGTGTTCTTTTGTTTGCAGTGGCTTTGCAGTGTAGCTGCCCCCTCAGTGAGAGAGCAAATCAGCTGAGCTGTCAAGTGAAGATTTTGATATTGATGTAGAACTAGACAGTGAATATCTAGGGCTTTTGAAAGCTCCATGAAGAAATTGAATTGGTGTTATTCCTATGGAAACACAATGCCCCTTAAATTGCTGCCCTAGCGTTAGAATGGTCCGAGTGGTACAGCTGCCTAAGGCAGCAGAGGTAGCCTGGATAGCCTGGAAGAATCCTTCTGATTCCCTGCTTCTTTTTCCCTGCTGACATAGATGAATTTTTATTTATTGTCTTACAGTCACCCTCACCTTGATACCTAAAACAAAACTCTAACACAGGGAAGCCTAGAGCAAGTACTTGAAGCACCTCTGTAAAAGTGAGCTGGCTTTCAAAAGTGCTGACCACCAAATAGGTCCCAGGGAAGTATTTGCTTCCAGGAGACAGCTCCTCGGGATTAAAACTTAAGCCCAAACTCTAGATTCCAACTGCGGTATTTGTCAGCCTACATGCCCCCTGAAGAAAATTTTTCAAATGAATAGTATGCATCAGCTGGCACTTGTTTTTATGTAAGTGTGAAACTCTCACTGGATTTAGTGATGAGCTTACAAAATTGCACATGCTGCGTACAAGTAGAAGCTGATTTATGGTACTGAGTTTAACTGTGCACTGTTCTGTAGCCTAGCACGGCCATGACACGAAGCTGGGCCAAACTCTGTGCTTTTTGCTAGAGCTTTCACAGCTGACTGCTGAGATCTGATATTGTGATTCCAGGAATAAACACTGAGTATGAAATAGGCAGACAGCTTCTGACTCAAGTCCAGGGTCTGATTTTATATTTATGTACCACAAACGAGTGGTTTGGTCCCATGTACACCATTATTCTTTTTTTGAAACAGAACTGCCTGAGCAGAGAGTAAGACCACTCAGTAAATCAGAAAGAACCCAGAATTTGATTGCTGCTGCCTACAGTGTTTTCACTCTCTACAGTTACCTCACACCTCATCATTGCTCCGAACAGCCAAAATGCACTGCAGGTTACAAGACCAAGAGCGAGCAAAGCTCATCTTCTGCACTCACGTGTTGACTGGACTTTTGTTTCTGAGGGACTGATAAATGACTCAAACTACGTGGAGTTGCAAACAGTCATGTAGGAGCAGCAGATACATGCAAGCTAATTATATATTTGCCAAATACTAACCAGCTTTAAGCAGGGTGCCAATCATTCTGGTTCTTAATGAAGTTGTTTAGTCAAAAAAGGGTGTGGGGAAGAAGAGAATTTAAGTAAAACTTAAACTTTACTTAAGTAAGTAAGTAAATAAATAAATAAATAAAATTGGAGGGGCCCTAAATAGTATACAAGTTGCTCACAGGTGGCAGCTAAATTTTGTGGAGCTCCATTTTGGACTCCATACATAATACAGACTGCAGTTTTGCTGAAAAAGTGTGTTTTGCTGGCTCTTTTTTTTTTCTTTTTAATAGGGAAAAAGCAACAGTTGCATGTCAATAGCCAAAGACATTCTTGTTAACTTACACCAGCCTTCCCTCTCAAATTGCAAATTCCAAATTTTTGTTCTAGAATAAAGCCATGAAACAAGATCTGTTTTTTCTTGCCTTTCAGTACACCACAAAAATATAGTATCCTGGTTGTAAAATGCCAGGGAACTAAGCAGGAAGTGCTCTTCCTGTGTTGCTCACTGACTGAAGTTAGATGAAAATTGGACTGGAATTCACTGCTGCTAGCAGCAGCCGTGGCAGTTCCCGAAGCTGAACATCCCAGGGTGTTTGTACACCCTGGACATGGGGAATGTAGAACTTGGCAGAGGTTCACCTTCCAGGTGGGACAGGAAACAGGAACCTTGTGATAAACGGGTACATTTTGGGTAAGTCAGCCCCCTGCTGATTAGGCTCAGGTGACCTGTTGGTGTATCCACATTCACACTTTAAATTGCCTGACGAATGTCCCACCCAGCTGATTTTCTGTTTGTAACTCCATTCAACTAGATAACCTTGCACTTAAATGTGCAAAGGGAGAACAGAACTAACAGCAACATGAGAATACTATAAAATTGTCTTGCTCGCTAGGTTGTCTCATTAGTTGGCATCTCTGTGCCTGAGGCTCCCTGAGCACTCCATTCCAGCGTAAGGCAAAAGGTGTGCTGGGGACTCAAGGAAACATGCTGTGCTTTGGACTGCAGTTCCCACATCGTTAAATAAATTCGTCAGGCCATCTGTTTGGCCCACCAGTCATCAACCAATGTGTTGCTGTCCTTACAGCACTTATGGAGGAAGCTCGGGGTTTTTGCCACATCATAGGCCAGAGAAAACTCCAGGTCTGCAGTGGCTGGAGAAGTTTCTGGCCCGCATAAAAGAGGATATTTGGACCCAGGCTGAGTAATGGAGTGTGCTGACTGCTGACAGGACCATTTCTACATGCAAATATATCTGGGGATGCTTTCTACATGGAGTAAATCCAGGATAGGTAGGAATCTGGTCTGCTGGTCTGCAGTGAGTAAAGTGGATTTATTTCTTCAGGAAAAAAAAAAAAAAGAGGGAAAAAGTCACTAAATCACCTCTTGCTTTCTCCCTTCTCTACTTTTCTTCCAGATCAATAATGAGATAAAGAAGGAGGATGAGAATCTCATGAGGCCTGTAACTGAGCGGATGATTGAGTTCAGCATTGTGATTGTTGGAGAAAAGTACAGCGAGGAGCTGAGTGACCCAGACACCGTGAAGCGTCAGCTGCTCTCTGAACAATTTGTTTCTCAGGTGACTTACCTCTTTCTTTTTACTCTCTTTCTTTTTTACTCTCTTTGTCTCTTTCTTTTTACTCTCTCTGCAAAGCAATAGTAGCACCTGTACCAGGACTGCTCTGCAGAACCAGCTTAGGGCTTTTGTTGCTTGAGGCAGGCTGGAAATGCTCACTGTGAGAACACCCTCTTTTGTTTGACATGCTGCCTTTTTGAGATAGTGGGGCTGTGTGCAACATACCAGTTGCCAAACAATGAATCCAGTTTTCTTACTGTGTTTCTTATGAAATAGCCTGCTACCAGTTTTTGCAGAGGTAGACATATGGTTTTGGGGAGATGAGAAAATTATGCTAAGCTCCTGCATATTTACTCCAGGAAGAGACCTTTCTGAGGCACTTCCCCTGCTCCTGCCCCTTTCTGCTCGTATTTATTTTGCCTTATGTTAGCAGAAGAAACTAAGCCAGGTGTTATTAATAAATGAAAGAAAATTGCTCTTCGTTTAGTTCTTTTAAAGACTTGCTTTTACCAAGGCTAACTTTGGCCTTGCCATCCTTGCAGAACTTTTAAGTCTCTCTCCCTATCAGTGTTACAGAAGTAGAGGTTTAGAAGTCACAAAGAAGTGACAAGTTTCTCATTTGTCTTTTGGTGTAACTCCGTCAGTTCTTAAAGTTCTGGGTCTTAAAACTCTTTAATTTTAAAGATGTATTTAACATCTCTCTGGTGACCAGTCTGCCTAGAGTTTTTTTCAGAGCTTTTTCATCTTGTTTAGTTTTGAATTCTTCCATAATGTTGTTGCTTTGAAACCGGGAAGTGAAAAAGATTATTTGAAGGTCTTGGCAAACCAGGCTGCCCACACTCTCCCCAAAGGCAGGACGTGAATCAGCAGCAGTTCAGAACCATCAGCCTGAGCTGGGGCAGTGCTGGAAGGCAGCTCTGGCAGGTCAGGTACAGCACAGCGTCGTGTGCAGGGCAGGCAGAAGGCATTCAGGTCTGTCAGCATCTGCTGATGTGGGCATGGCTTGGGTTTCCTGCAGGAGCTGAGCACTTCAGCGGGATTTAGGAAATCTCGGTGGTTACACAGTGTCCAGATTTCTGATTGTAGAGAACTCCAGCTTCAAGCAAGAGCATCTGTCTGTGCAGAGTAGGTGACAGGTGGGGAAGTCACAAACAACAGAACTTGTCCGTGATTTCCACTCAGGAGCAGCATTTCGTTGAAAGAATCACTGCGTACTGCAGGGAGATACTCTTTGAAATCCAGGCTGCTAAGACAATTCTCAATCATCATTTATGTCCGGAATCAGCAATGCCTATAAGAACATTTTAAAACCCTCCAACTTCAGAAAAATTCTTAAGCACATCCTTTAATCCCACTGGAGTCAGTGGGAATGAACTACGGTTGAGACTGTTAGGCACCAACTTCAAAGAAAAATTGTATGTGTGCACATATATATATATAAATAAATATATATATATAAAGCATATCTATACATATGCATATATGCATGATTTATTAAATCTTCATTTCAAGTTAACTTAATCTGAATTAAATTGAATGTTTTAATGTCTTTCCTCTCCCTACTGTTCCCATTCATTTATTTTATTTTACTTTTCATTTATCATGGTAATCTTACAACCATAATTTTCTTGGGGCAGAAAGTTTGTCTTTCCTTTCTCTTGGGAAAAGCATCTAGGGTGCCAAATGGTAGGGTCATCTTTTTTTCTAGCTTTGCTTCCTTCTTTGTCCCATTTAGTTGGGGTTCTCTGTTGAATCCCTTTAACTGGTGCTAACCCTGTGCCAGATCCTGGGCCAGATGGGAAAGAGATGTACTCACCACTGGAGCCAAAAAGCATCACCACAACTGTCACAAGTTGCTAGCATAGGCTAGACATCTTAATTTTCCTAGTTGTGTGGCCAAGTAGCAATGCCATAGAGTGTGTGTGTGGAAGAAATGTCAGATGGGATGGAGTCCACCTGGCACATGGATGTTCCACTCCTTTGATCCCTTGCCTGGTTTTCTTTCTGCTTGGATAAAGAAGCTCCTTTAAAAAGAAAAGAAAAGAAAAGAAAAGAAAAGAAAAGAAAAGAAAAGAAAAGAAAAGAAAAGAAAAGAAAAGAAAAGAAAAGAAAAGAAAAGAAAAGAAAGAAAAAGAAAAAGTCAGCCGGCAGCACTCAGGTTGTTTAACTCTCACCAGAGACGGTTTAAAAATAGGGAGACTGGAGAGGGGAAGGGGAATTTGAGGAGTGAAAAATAATCCTCAACTGGCAAGGATCTTTTGGGAGGAAAAATACAAAACTGGCATGAACCTGCAGTATTCTATTTCTTGTCTTTGTCAACACAGTTGAGTATTGAATTGGGCCTGGACATACCACCATTCTGCTGCCCCCAGTCTTCATTTCTGAGTAGCAGTGCCAGGCACTCCTGCACCCTCTGTATGTTTAGGGCAGCGGAGATGGGCCGCGTTTTGCACTAAGTAATGGATTGGGGTGTCTTTGACGTCTGAGGCCCCAGTTCCTAAGGTGGCTGTTGCTGCTTCACTTGTTTAGCTTGCTAAGGTCCAAAGCATTTTTCCTGAATTTGTTTTAATCCGAAGAAGTTTGGGAAGTAATGGAAACCTTTGGGGAAAAAAAGGGTTTATGCTGCATAAATAAAAGAGAGAATATCATCTGCTCGTCACAGATGTTGTACAGATCTCTGCATTTTTCTGTTTGAATTTTCCCTCTGAATATTTATATACACCTCTTGGGGAATGCTCGATATTGTGCTTCGTATTTTTCTCTTTTCCTTTTGCAATAATGAAACATCACCGAAACTCTTCTTCTCTAAAGACAGAGAATATTTAGCCATGTTTTTCCTAATAGAAATAGCAGCTCAGATGCATTTTTAGAATTTTAGAAAATGTTGAAAATACTTCTTGCTTTTTTCTCTATAAGGAGGAGGGTGGAGGAAATTTGTGTTATTTTTTTTTTCCCCTCAAAATAGATCCAAAAGGTATTTGAAGGACTACCTGGATACAAAAACATCCGTGTCCTGGAATTCAGGTAAAAAGATCCTGATGTGTATGTGGTGGTTGAAACTGAGCCCGTCGAAGGTGCGATGTGCTAGCACCACAGCTGGAAGAATGTCAGTGCAAGGGATTTCCAGGATGTGTTAATCAAAGAACAAGTGCTTTCATACTGGTGCCTTCATATGTACAGAAATCAAAATAGAAATACAGAAACGTATATAAATGTAGTTGGCTCTTTTCCGCTGCTGGCACCCATCAGAGAAGCTCACATGATATGTTTGCCTTCAGTTTAAGATTCTGACCTAAAATTAAAAGAGGTGTTTTCTAATTGAAAATCACCGTCTGATACTTCCTCAAAACTTTAGACGTGTCCTAGTATTAAACAAGGAAGAACATGGGAATCTTTTGGGAAAAATGTGATATATTTTCATCTCTTTGCAACTTCTTAATGGGATGGCTTAATTTGGTTGTTAATTTGGTTGGCATTTGAGGTATATAAAGATTTTTCTCCTTTCGCTCAAACCAAAGGTGGGTGAATAAATATTTGATAAATGATCTGAAAACTTTAACTCTCTGCAGTCTCATAAATATTGCTTAAAAGAATAGTTTCCTCAAATCAGTTTGTACTTCAAAATGGCATTTTAAGTTAATTTCAGAAGAAAAGGGGGAGATTCTGCGTGTTATGTATCAAACGTGATCTGTGAGTTTTGGTATACATGAATCACAAATTATGATCGGACTTGAATGGACTGGATTTAATTTTAAGAATCCAGTCAGGCTTTTCATGGGTCAATCTAAAAAATGTTCTCTATTGGGACTTTGTAAGCTGTATTTCTTAAAATATTCCAGCCAATAAATTCGAGCCAGGATATTTCCGGGTAACAAAGCAGTTATAGCGAGGAAGGTTTTATGGTTGGAATCATATGGTGGGGCACTGTTCCAGCAACATTGTCAGAAGTACCAAAAAAGGATGGTACAGAAATCAAATTATGAAATGCCTGAAACAACGAGGCAGGAATGTCCCCCGTGCTAATTGCCCAAATGGATTGATAAACTCCACTTTGTTGTGGCCCGCTGTAGGAGAATAATTACCTGACCTGATAAGACTGATTGATAGATACGTAAGTTTTCCCTGCGTCAGCAAGGAAAACTGAATGACACTGTCTTCAGCCCTCATGGGAGCCTGGAGGCACGTTTGGCTTTTCAGTTCCTACTTTGACTTCTGGCTAGAACCACAGCAAACCGGGGTAATGACATGGGGAAACCCTGCTGAAGCTCTGCCTGGGAGGTAGCAAAACCTTCCTTCTCAGTATTTGCAGTCTAATACGTTGGAGAGCCCTCCGTTCATTTCAGAAGTGAAATAAAAGGTTGGTATTCCTGGAAAATTCCAGAGATTCTTTCTGTGCTCTGATGCGCATGAGGAAAAAATGCGTTTGTAAACTGACCTTCAGGTAGAATTAGTTAGTGAGCCTTGTTTCTCTTGGTACTGATGGCAATTTAACTGCCTTACTTGCAGTCCTGTGCAGTGGCTCTGCTCTGCTGGTTCCTTGTGACCAATAGGAAGTATTTCAGTTCAGTAAAAGCTGAACAATTGGTTATGCAGCAGATCGACTTTGCAATTTATAAACACTTCGCTGTATGGATTTTGAAATTTGTGTGCACTGTAGAATGTAAAGGCAAATTTGGTAAAGCTGAACTTTAAGGAACTGGTGACGTTGATTTAACAGGTTTTGCTGTTGTGTTTTGTTTTTGTATTCAGCTCTCCTGAGGAGGACAGGTAAAGACATTTTTATACACATTGTTATAATACAGAAGGAAAAGCGCCTTAGCTGGATGACACTGACTGTCTTGGGGATTTGTGGTTTTGGCTCCACAGCGAGATAGTTATCCAGCATAAATACTATGTGAGGGGGTTCTACCAGCAACTGCAAGTAACTCATCTGTTCTGGTTATGAATACACTTATATTGCTTATTTAAATGCTGCTTATAAGAAACTTCTTGAGGAAAACCATCCTAAACACAAGTCAGCTACTGGGCTAGCTTGTGTATAGGAGCCTCTTCTGTGAAGAAAACAAAATTGTTTAATGACGACTCAAGGTCTTTCTAATTAGCATCACAATCTTGGGTAGATATGATTATTATTAGATAAATTAAAATAAGTAAGAAAACCATAGTTATCCAGCAAAGGCAATTGGCTTAAGCTCCTTCAAGGCTGGATTTGCTGTGCATCTTAGCAGTAATTTTACAAACATTTCTTAGCAGAAGATGACATCAGTCTTGACTTGTTTTTTTGGCAGATATATGCGAGTTAAGCATCCTAAATTTTCCTCTTTCAATATTATTTGAAGAATTTCACAAACAAACAAAAAAGAACTGTGGCCTTTAAATTACTGGAAGTATTATTTTATTTTGTATATTTCTCAGTAAAGCCCTAGCCAGTGTCCACAAACAGTTGTACAGAGAATGAGCATTTTAATTTTAGAATGTTTCTGAACAAAGAAAGGTATTGAGCAAATCTGTTCACAAGCAACAGTGACTGACAGCCAACCTCTGTTACTCTGCACTTCTGCGGACTAAGATGCGTGCAGCAATTCGAAGAGGTTATGTCCGAAATACCAGATGTTATAGCCCTTTCCAGACAGATGGTGGTGTCATTGTTATTACTTAGCAATTATTAACTGCAACTGACAGCACAGTTGTGTTAAATGTAAATGTTACTTTCTGACTAGCATGCTGTATGGCATCTTTGCCGTGCCTTTTTGCTACTGCTGTCCTTTTTCATTCCCTCTACTGACACTCAGTGCTCATGATGAGCCTGCAGTGGGCTCATTTCAATAACTAGGGCCAGCAGCAAAACTCCAGCAGGTTCCTGGTTTTAGTTCATGTGTTTGCTGATTGTGTCTTTGTTGTACCTGGCCCTGGGGCGTTAGAGCCTTCTCTGAACAGAACCATTGCTTTGGTAATTTTACTTTTAGTCCAGCTTTGTGGAATGAAGGAAACCCATCTTTGGAGCACGTTTTCCTAGCACTTCATAGATTACTTCATTTCTTGCTGTGCCCCATGTACAGCCAAAGTATGCTCTATTTTCTAAGACTCCCTTGTGCTTATGCCCAGTGTATGGCAAATCTGGTTGCTACCAACTCTGTCATGTGGAAGAGGACATCCAGACATAGGTTGGAGAAGAGCATGGAGAAAACGGAGGAGACTTAATATGAAAAAGCTAAGCTGTACATAGATACGAAACTTTGTTAGAGAATTAATGATCAAATGAGACTAGAATAAATGCTTCTAATTATAAGGTGTATGAAATGCTATTTGAGTGTTGCTAGAGGCATTATTTCAAGCAGATGGACACTGCACAGTGACAGTGATCAGGGCTCCCGCTTGCTGCTGTATTGCTACTATACACAACCTGTCTTCCCAGGCTCCTTTCTTACCACGGATCCATTCCCATCATGGGCATGACGACCTTAAAAGCATCACTCACACCACTGCATGTTGGCGGGTCTACTGATAATACAGGCAAAAAGCCATCAGTTTGGTCTCCTGGTAGTCCTTCTGCCCTTCAGAAGTAGAAATACAGGGCTGTGACCAGGCCAGATGTTGTGTTCTGGTAACCTTTTCCATGAGAAAACACAGGTAGGCAGACACAAGTGTGAAAAGTAATATAATTAATTAATTTTACCTAGAATCCTTAAAAACAACGTATTTGTATTTTTAAAGAAAGGGTAGGGACACAGGTTTTTGGAAAAAAAATCATAGCATTTGCCATGGAAAGCCTTACATCTCTCATGTGTGTTTTCTCTCTTTGCAAAACCCCAGTGGGGTGGAAGTGCACTATGCTGTTACTTTTGATGGAGAAGCCATCAGCAATGCCACCTGGGACCTGATTAACCTTCACTCCAACAAGGTGGAGGACAACTCCTTTATGGACATAGAGGATAATCCAACAGTTGTTTACACCATCAGCGATTTCCAAGATTATATTGCTGAAATTCTCCAGAAAAATGCCTTGCTTGAAAACACTTCCTTGATTTTAGACCCAAACTCTCTCCAACTTATTAATGGTGAGTCTTACTTACGATTCATCTGCCCTCTGAATAACTAAAAAAAATCACAAACACGATGGTGTTGCAGTTGGTTTTGCTCTAATTTTAACCAGGTCAAGTCAATAGCAGTAGCATCCCATTGTCAATCCCTTAGATTTGTCTCTTTTTTTCCTTTGACACCAAGGTTTGTGGTGTGCAGTAATATTATCAGCAATTAACAGGAAGAGAAGGGGAAATGTGTTTCACATGATGCAGTTTGCTTTCAGCACTTTAGGTTAGCAGCTCTGCCTTGGCCTTGAGCAGCACAAAAGAAATACTTGGCTTATTGTTGAATATTCAAAGGTCCTACCATAGTTGGTAGAGCAGTGCTGTCCCACTCCCCTGTTCCCATCTTTTCTCTGCACTTCTTGTGTGTAATCTGTGGGTATTTTCGAGAGAAAATCTTTCTGGCAAACTTGCTGAACAGGTCTCACAGATCTGAGATGAGGAAGGGTTTTTCAGCCTAAACAAATTGTTCTAAAACAGTTTCTTTGCACTGCTACTGCAGCATTTTGAACCTATGTACTTATATTTTCCCAGGGAAAGAAATACTACACCCTACCCAAGCAGATCCATCCTGGATTACTGAGCATCCAGGTGTGTTGGAGCGTGCGGAGTTTGATGTGAGTATGGTTCTGAGCAATGACCTTTTATTTGAGGTATGTCCTTTGCACGCATTTGAACAGCTTAATTCAGCAAAATGGCATTAAAGCCAGCACCCAGAGCTTCTCTATCCTATTGATCATGCAGAATACAGTCAGGAAAGGCACACCATATAGTGGAAAAAAACCTCTGGTGAATTCTCTCACCTGATAATTTGTTACCTGTGCACAACGCTTTTCTGTGATCATCTTATATTACCTGGCACATTGTTGTGTTTCTGGCTGTGCAGCCGTGTCTTGTTCTTTAGGCTTCCTTTGTCTGTTTTTTTTTTTTTTTTGTTTGTTTGTTTGTTTTTTTTCACAATGTTTAATTAGACTGTAAATTGTTCTAAAAACATAATTTGTTCCACAATCCTGCCTTTCTTTGGAAAGTGAGAAATAAACATAAGCAGTAAAGCTGCCTGTGAGAAGAGATAAAGGTAAATTTCACATGCTCCTTTTGTTACTATTTCATTTTCCCTACAAGTTCTTACTTCAGGTTTTAGATGTCCATCCCCTTGATGCCAGCAAAGGAAAAACAGAAAAAAAATAATAGCCACTGGTTTATTGTATTCCATTTTTAAAAGTGTGCATTTATCTCATGTGATTACCTCTGGAACAACCCAGGACATAGAATCAGGCTCTTCATTGGACAGGAGAGTTAGTATCCCTGAACATACTTGTACCATGCAATGGGGCTTCAAGCAGAGGTGCCATGTTAGGTGCCAGCACTGCTGAGATTGAGTTTTGCTGACAGCTAGAATTTCTGAACGGTGGAACATTGTCTGGGCTTAAGAATTTATCCAGTAGGTTTCTGCTCTGTTGAGTAACACAGACGTGCCTTCCAAAAAGAAATGAGCTCAGTTCATGCCGCAAAACCCAGATCCAGCTAAGTTTGATGGTAGGTTTTTTTCACAAAGCTCATTACGAGATACTGTTGTGAATAAAACCATGCTTTATTTCAGGCCAACCTCTAAAATCATTGTAGAAGCAAAATTTTCAGTGACTTCACAGAAGCCAGCGATTCCTGTTCTAATGGTCATAGGTATAATATCCTTAACTTCATGCCAGTTTTCCCAGAGTTTTAAAAATTAACCATTAGTATCTAAAAAGCAAATTCATTCATTTGCCATAAATGGTTTAATCTTGATGTGGATAAATAGGAATTTAATGTAACTTTCAGGAAGGGGCTTTCTATTTTCTAGAACTATCTAACTGGATTAAAATGTTACATATGTTTATTTTAGTAAGATAATTCTGCCATTTTCACATTCTCTTCTGTGGATACTTGGACATATACAGGCAAGAAGATTTTAGAGTAGAGATAGCTTTGCAATGTTACTCCATTTTAAATCATTTTTAGGGAATAGTATGTACAGGAAAAAATACTGGATGTTACATTTTTCTAATCATGGCCTATGAATAATAATGTTATCTCTGTCTTCAGTCAAAAATTGTGGTTATATACAAAGTATATACAAATATACTGAGTATATCCAAGAAAATAGCTGTGTACAATCTGCAATACACAGATAATTTGGGAAGTAATTTCAGATAAATTTAAGAAAATCCTAAGCTGCTAAAACAGTAAAGAAGGCCAAAATGATTAGTCAGTTATTTGCAGAGATATCAAACCTTCATGGTTCAAGTAGATGCTGTTAAGTAGAACCATTACCTGTGAGAAAGAGTTTTGCTATTATTTTTTGCAGTTGATTTGGGAATGAGTTGGATTTGTATTATCGTACAGGGTCATGACATAATGTGGAACTATCATTACTTCACCATCTTATTGCTAGCAGATGGTACCAACTAATCATTAATTCCTTTCTTTGAGTTTTACAGATCTCTTAAAAATGAATAAAAATGGAAGTGTAGCTTTTGAAATCTGCATTTTCTTGTTATTTCTGTTGAGCTCTAACAGGTAGAATGCCTTAGCTTATTGAGCACAATGTATTTCTGGCAGCAGAAAATGGAAAATCAGGGAGGGTGTTCTGTGTTTGCAGTCATCTGTCATATTTGTAAGCCTTTCAAGACATTAGCAAAAAACCAGCACTTGCCAATATGATATTAAACTTGTTAATATAATATATAGCACTGTAACAAGAATCTTTGAATAATGTTAGTTGTCATAGGAACATCTATCCACATTAAAATAAATGATGAGGTGCAATTCCTGGCAACTAAATGCTCACATAAAAAATGTATTGAGAAGCTATTGCTGGTAGTCCTTTTTCATTCTTTATGGAATTTATATGTGTAATTTATATGTGTAATTCTAATCTTGCACAGTAACTTTTCTCACAGGTTTATTTATAATAGCCAACTTTGCCAAAAAAGATAATTGCTGGAGCACATGTCTGTATGGTATATATACTTCTCAACTGATTGTTACCATATACATTCAGAAATATGAGAAGACTGTGGTGATAGAACAACCAGCTATAAAAAAACATGGTCAATTCAGGTAGACAAATAGTCAGGTGAAAATAACTTCGTTGTTTCTAAAATGTTCACATACAGTTTGAATGAAGTTGAAAATTTAATTCACTCATGTTTCTACCAGGAGTAAAATTTCAATCTGAAAAGTATTTGGGGTTTTCCTATTATTCATTCTAAAATAAAAGAGAGGGATTTGAAAGGAACAGTGAGCTACAGAATGATTAAATCAATAGTTTCTTTGAACTGTAATACGTACTACTGAAACCTTTGTCTGGCGTCTGCTTTACATGTACTAGCCACCATCAGCAATTAGTTCTTAGTAAATTAATCCTTCTTTCTTCACTTGACAGTTTTTCATACCTCAAGGCTTTTTTTCCCCATTTCTGACTGTTGCACAGCATTGATAGGCTGGACAGGTAGCCGTGCAAAGCGCTAATCCCTGAGTTGTAGGCAGTGAGCTTTGCTTTTGTAGTCTTGACCAAGTAACTTAATCTCTTCACTGATATTCTGCAATATCATTACCTCATGAGACACTGTGGGAGTAGATTAATATTCAAAGATAAAACGTGTTTGGTATTCTAGCTGTAAACCAAATAGTGACTGGAGCATGGCACATAAGTACATAGTGTGCAGATTGGAGGCTTAAAAAGACATTCTTTTTTCACAGTACATATAAGTTGCAAATTTCATTGCGTATACTCTTTGTTCATCATTACTGCTGAACAAAAAGTTTTCTTTCCATAGAAGTATTTCAGCTTTGAGACTGAAGTTGTTCTACGTTCTAAGTTACATTATGGTTATAGTTCCCCTCTCAGGTTCACATACCAAAACATAAATGACCACCAACCATACATACCTATGTGCATTTGAGTTCAGTTTCTGAACTGTTTTTATGTATGATGATAACTATAATGTTATAATTACTGCATTGATTATGGAGCTGATGAATAATAGCTGCTACGACCTCTTCATGCCTTAGGAAGGAAGGCAGTATTCTGTGTGCTTATTTTCCATTTAATTAGAAATAGTTCGGTTTTTCAGTAAGGAAAAGGAAAGGACATGGTTTGGGTATTGAGGGTAAGTCTCTTAATACGCTAACTGAAGCTGCACTCCAAAGAACTGGAACGGCTGTTTTCCTTTAGAAGTGGCCATGACTGGACACAAAATGCATGTCGCAAGGACGTGCATTGTACGTGTATGTTGAACATTATTAGCACAGGGTACGTTTGCCAATCCTTCCAGCTGAGCCCCTGCTGTTGCTATTGTTACTTCCTCACAGAGGCAATACTACCAGATTTTGCTTGTTTTGCTGCTGGTTAACACCTTTGATATGTTCAGCCCAACGTGGACAGACCGTACTGCCCCTATAATAATGGTTGTGGTTTTGTTTCAGGATAACACCTTTTTAGCTGAACGGCCTTCAGCAGATGAATCAACGGTCAGCAATACCTTGCCCTTTGATTCCACCAAACCAGATTCCACTTCAGATAGTGAAGAGTCCAATGACAATGAAATCCACCGAAGACCAGCAAATCAGGACTCTGAGGCCAGCTGGACACCTGATGCTCCACTTTCCTCCGAAGTTGATGTCACCTCTTCGCCTGATGAGCTGAATTTAGAAGATGGGAATCAGACTCCTCCTTTGGTCACTGCACCAGCATTAGAGCGTGATTCTGTGGACTCCCTGGAATGGCTGTCAGCCCCTGATTCTTCAGATGGTAAGTTCATGCCATTGACTGAAGTGTAAATTTGGACACGAGTGTCCTGTGACGCTCACCAAAGGGGTAGTTTACCAAAATGGCTTTTCAGAAAGGTCTACAAATTGGATATATTACTCTGATTGTTTTTACCTTCTCATTTTGATCAAATGCTGGTAACAGGTGATAATGCCTGTTTGCCTCTCCAGGAAATTACATGCACGATGCTTCTTTAATTGCACAGAAATATTTTCATATAGGGCATGATACCATGCAGACATAATTGAAGCAGACTAATTAGCCTAAGGACATACTACACATTAATTGCTTTACTGCATACTCTGCAGCCCTGATTTGGCTCATAGAATATCATAATGAAAAGTGGAGAGGTTACCAGGGGTCCTTCCAACTTCAGCATACAAAGGTCAGTATACATCACAGGAAACATGCTGAATGCAGATCCACAGCCAACAAAATGAACTGCATTTGACTCTTTTTTGGTATAAACAAAAACTGAGTGGAAACTCATTTATATTTTTAAATATAAAAAATATAAAAATATAAAATATAAACTCAATTATATTTTTAGGGTTTGAAGATACTGGGCTATCAGAAGACTTTATTCTGCCTTCGAGTCCCCCTTCTCACCTCGTGCCTGAAGAACCTCCATCTACAGATGATTACGTAGTTCCCCTGTCTCCTGCATCAACAGTGGCCTCCTCGTCAGTCACGGAGACTGATACTAAAGCAACAGCCTCTGCTGAGGTGGAAAAAGTAACTCAGGGTAGTCCTGCAGACAGTAACAATGCAGACTCTGTGTTGCATAATTCTGTGGAAGAAAATCCTTTTCCCTCAGAACTACACCCTGTAGAAGCTGAAACTGATATTTATCTCGGAGATAGAATTACATATGAAGATGGGTCTGGTTCAGCTTTTGATGGTTCAGGAAAAGAAACGGAATCAAGTATTTGGCCTTGGGAAGAAGCAACGCTGGAACCTGTTTTCCTACCCTGGTCCTGATAGCTGGCTTGATGATGATAATGAGTCTTTGTTAATCAGAACTGAGGATATTCCTGAAGGCCTGATCTTAGATTATATTCTTAACTCTCAGAATAAATTAGATGATGATCCTTCCAAAGATGAAAATGAAGGTATGGCTGACATAGAAGAAAATTTTCTTGATGAATCTGAAATATTTGTCTTTCCTGAGACTACAACTCAGCACGTATCTCTGCTTCAGACAGAGGAGCCACTTACCTGTGGAGCCATCTACACAGACAGAAGCATCGAGCACATACGATTCTTCTTTTGTTAAACCAGTCCTCATTCTGGAGCCATCAGAGGACTATTCCTTTGTAGACATGCCAACTGGAGAAGCCCCTGTCTCAACACACAACACAGATGTGTCTGTTGAAGATGATAGTCTCCTTACACCTGCAGTACCCCTCAGTATGGACAATAGTCCTACATCTACTGCAGCACTCAGTACGGACAGTAGTCTTACATCTACAGTAACCCTCAGTATGGACAGTAGTCTTGTATCTACAGTAACCCTCAGTGTGGACAATAGTCTTACGCCTACAGTAACCCTCAGTACAGACAATAGTCTCACATCTACCGTAAGCCTCAGTGTGGAGCAACCTGAAGAGTCCAGTGTAGGTCAGGAGATCGTTTCTGAGGCAGTTGAACACCAGCATGAAGGCAGGCCAACATCAGAAGAACTGTTCACAGCAGGGCAGTCAGATCTGACTGAATCTGCTACGATAGGCTACTTGGACACAAGCAGTTCAGAAACTATTCTGACTGCAGATCCTTTTGTGGTGAACACTGATACTTCCACAGAAGAGCAGCAAGCCCTGGACACATCTTTGGCAGGCCAAAACACTGGCTCGGCAATAAAGAAACCAGCTGATGTTTGGCCTACTGACAGAGTGCTAGAAAATATATTAGATCAGACAGTAAAATCAGCAACACCAACTGTAGTTGAAGCTGCAACTACGGTTCCTTCTGTAACAGAGCAGGCCACTGTTCTAGAGGGTGTTGCTGGACAGGGTGGTACAGACCACAGCACGCTTGTTTCCACGAGCATCAGCACTGTTAGGAACTCCTACGTAACTGTGAGCGTCACAGCAAACATCGCCGAGCTTCCATCCAATCTCCCACCGATGGGATCCACAGCGTCACCATCGGTGGTTACCTCAGCAAAGGTGGGAGATGAAACAGCCAGGGTCCTGGATGTGTCAGTGGGGCTGGATCACGTCAGCGTTGTCAGCTTTTCTCCTGAGCCGAGTGAGGAGGGAAGGAGCCTGACTGACAGTCACGTGGAGCTGACCACCCGTGCCCAATCCACAGAGATGGCCAGCGTGGCGTGGGCCACGCGTGAGAACCACAACAGCACTCCTATCCCATCACGAGCTCTGGTCGTGTTTTTCAGTCTTCGGGTTACCAACATGATGTTTTCAGAGGACCTGTTCAACAAAAATTCCCCTGAATATAAAGCATTGGAGCAACGATTCTTGGAACTGGTAAGAAGCACTTCTCTGCTAAATATCCATTGCCAGGTAGAAATTGTTGGTCAGTCCCAGTTGGTATGCTCTGTTTTGCAGAGACAAACACGAGACAGGTGTGTCCAGATATTATGCATGTCCTTCTATGGGAAAATGCTGTCTGGGAACATGGGGGAGAGGGGAGGTTTTTGTTTTGTTTTTATTCAGTCACAATTCTGTCTCTCCAAAGCTCATTATCTTAACTGTGATACGTGCCAGATGCTCTGCTGGTGTCAGTAGATGCAGCAGGGTAGCTGAAGCCAGTACAGCATTCCATTCAATTGCTTCTGGAGTGCTCTGGATTTAGTCTATGGGGAGAGAGAAGTAAATAAATTGGGCCTGTCAGGAGATAACCTTTCTGCAACATATTCAACCCACCCTAATGAAGAGGCAGTTTGGCTGATCTCTTAAAAAGCCAATAGCTAGCTAAGCTTCATAGGAGTAATACAGCAACAATTACCAAACTCTAACCTGGCAGTTCCCATCTCCTGACCGAAATCAGTATTTTGCTATGGGAGATGGAGGGAGTAAAGAAGAAAGACAGAAGGGGAAGGGGCTCGACAGAAATGTCCTTTGAAATGACAAGTATGCCTGGTGCTTAGAGCAAGGGGAGAGCACCGTGTGTGTCACAAGAACTGTGCATATAAATTGTAGACTAAGAAACCATCTGCAAATTGATATTTGGGAAAAGTTTTAATACCCTTACTGTGGGATTTGGGTAAACCGCTTCAGATCCCCGCTGCCTGATGCAATACCAGTGCAACTGGCTTGAGCAGAGACTTGAAGTCTCAGCTTTTCTGTCCTTGTCCCTGTGCTGCAGCTGGTGCCGTACCTTCAGTCAAACCTAACAGGCTTCCAGAATCTGGAGATCCTGAACTTCAGAAATGGCAGCATTGTGGTGAACAGTCGAATGAAATTCGCCAAACCCGTGCCTCGGAATGTCACCAATGCTGTGTACATGATCCTGGAAGACTTCTGCAACACTGCGTATCACACCATGAACCTGGCCATCGATAAATATTCCCTGGATGTGGAATCAGGTAAGGATGGCAGAAAAATGCAGTTTTGGGGCAAGGGATTTAGAGCTACTTTTGCTTTAAGAACTTGCTTAGGATTCTGGCAGCTCAGAGATCGCCCACTGGAGTTTAGGACAGACTTTCACAGAGTTGAAGTACACAAACAGAAGTCTGTTATGGGACTGAAGACATGAAAAGCAAAATGGGACACGGACTGAGCAAACTGTATGAGGGCCTGTATAGAAATACAGGAACAAAACTTGCTTATGTAATTGCCACTGTGCTTTTACCAAGGAGTTGGAGGAAGATTGGTCAGCAAGGGCAGTGGTGTCCTTCTCTCTTGAGCTTATCTTCATGTATGGTTTGGAGTTGCTCCATGGGTCTATTCCCACTGCTGGCAGCCCGTTTAGCTGTGAGGAGTCTGCAGTGATACTTTCTGCTGCCTTATTCTTGTGGTTAGGGCTTGATTGCAGTAAAACATTACTGGCCCTCTTAATTTAGTCTTCTGATACGGGGAAGTTTCTTTGCTGCCCAAGTTAGCCAGTAGTTTACCATATAAGCAGCCTGGAAATATTTCCTGTTTTAAAGTTAAGGAAAATAACAGTGCTGAGCTGATGGCAAGTGGTAGCTGTCCTTCTGAGGTAGCTCTGTTATGAAGATGGTCATTTTTAGCATGAAAAATCTTCTGATACTGATTGTGTGACTGTATGCCAGCCCTCTCAAGCTTGATATGCCACAAATGCTACAAGCTTGTGTTCCTTGCAGACAAAAGCAAATCACCTCACAGTGGGTGCTGTGTCCCAAGTCCCCTTGCCCTTCCCTGTGTGTCGCCTAGGTTTTCTGTAACAAGAAATACTGGAGATCAACTGTGTTTTATTCATTTGCAAAATACAGTTCCAGCAGACAGAGAACATCTGAGGTACTGCCTGTTCCAGTAAGAAAAAGAACATTTTACGCTTGCTTTTTCAATTGGCTTGCTGGGTGGTCTTAGCCGTACCATTCACTTGCGCTGCGCAGACAGGAACACTTCGTAGCGCTTGTTCACCTTAGCAGAACCCTTTGAGACTTGGGAAAGACGCACGCTGGGTTTCTGCAGATTATTTTAACCAGGTCATTAGAGAAAATGGCAATGGTGCTTTGCCTCAGTTAACTCTCTCATCGACTATTAACGTTTTCTGCTTTGTGTGTTCTCAGGTGAGCAAGCAGATCCCTGCAAGTTCCAGGCCTGCAATGAGTTCTCCGAGTGCTTGGTGAATCGCTGGAGTGGGGAGGCTGAGTGTGTCTGCAATCCCGGCTACCTGAGCATCGATGGGCTGCCGTGCAACAGCATCTGTGATCTGCAGCCCAACTTCTGCCTGAACGATGGCAAGTGCGACATCAGCCCCGGGCAAGGCGCCATATGCAGGTAGGTCATCCTGTTCAACACATGGCGAAGCCATGCTGCCTCCTCTGTCCTAGCCTTCCATGAGAGTTGTGCAAAATTCCCCAGGGTAACGCATAACAGGTGAGATGCCAATGGTTATCGGTCATGTAATGCTGCTGAAGGGTTAGTTTGCTTATGTAAAGTTTGGAAATGAGACAGTTACAAACGTGTTTAGTAGAACAGAAATGCCAGTCCGCAAAACTATCTAGGGAAAATAATAGCAATGAATGTATTCAGTTGTTAAAATCACCTTCATTGACCTTTTGAGACAGAACTTCTCTCTGGCAGTTTCCTTAAGTAGCAAAGTGTTAGATAATGTCATAAAGCATGTATGAGTTGATTCTGTTGCAAAAATTCAGATTTGAAAAGCATCCTTATATGTATTAAAAATGGTGCTTTTAATTAAGAAAAACATCATAAAAGTAAAGCATTGGCAACCTGAGAAAAAACATGTGTGGTTTCAAGACGCAGGCCCCCTGGTTTAAATTTTGTGATTTTTAAGATACAGATGCATGTGACTGGGATGCCTGTATTTTACAGGTAGGTGAAATGATTCTACAAGACACAGATAAATTGATGTGCACTCCAATACTGCACTTATTTTTTTTCCCTTTCCAGCAATGTAACCGTCTATTTTTAGAAACTACGTACAGCCCTCCACAAAAGCTAGGAAAATAACTACAGAAAAGGAAGGATAGCTACTACTGGTTATTGTTTATTAGTTCAGGTCCTTTTTTTTAAAAACTTACTTCTAACTTTTCAAGTCAATCTTACAGTCCTGGCTTCTAACAGGAAAACAATATAATGTTTTTTAATGCTATGAGGCTGGATACTTTCACAGATACAGTATAAATTTTATCTTATTTATATAATACATGAATAAGAAACAAGTATCTGAGCTCAAGCATGCTCTGGCCAGTATTTTTGAAAAATATTTTGAAAAATATTTGTAAAGTATTTTTTTTTGAAAAAAGCAGTTTGAAGAAATTCAAATACTGGTTACTAATTTAATAAACTCTCGTAGTAAATTAAGTCTTTTGACATAAATATCTAATGTGTAGTATTAATAAGGCTCAGTACTGTGAGTGCTTGTAATACCTTGCAATTCCTTGATTTTTTTTTATAGTAAAAAGGCCCCAACACCTATAATGCGGCTGTATTATTTGTACTGGTATGTTTAAAGATGATATTAGTTACAGCGGTCATATTCAGTACCATGGCAAGGCAGAAATAATAATCGCTGATTAAGGGAGCAGCTGCAAAGATACACTTTTAGGCACCCCATCTTTCTAGTAATTTATTTTGTGTCTTTAATCATTGTGGAGTTTACATACCATAAACATGCTGTTCATTAACACGCCTTCATGTGTATTTGCATTACAAGATCATTAAGACTACATTTACAGTGTTTACTACATCGTGTGCAAGGCTCTGTCACTGCCTAACTTTTTACTTGGTCTAAACACCTTACAGTTTTAACATGTTGCAGGATACTCTAAATAGCAAAAACCACAGGCTTTTTGCCATTACTAATGTTTTGTCCTTTTATTATTTTTTCTATCTCTTTTCACTAAACTCCTCAATAACAAAAGAGGCTGTTCACAATAATAATAAAATGTTAGTGCTTAAGCATATAAATATATTTTTAAGATAACTAAGGCACTGTCATAAGAAGAAATGAAATACATCTGCATTAACTTAAGTCATAGTTTTTGGCTGGTGTTTGAATTCCCAGTGTTTCCTTTTTGCAGGTGTCGTGTAGGAGAGAACTGGTGGTACAGAGGGGAGCACTGTGAGGAATACGTGTCTGAGCCCCTGGTTGTGGGTATTGCCATTGCTTCTGTGGCAGGGTTCCTTCTTGTGGCATCTGCTGTCATCTTCTTCTTGGCCAGGACCCTTCGAGACCAATACACGAAGAGCGACACTGAGGACTCTCAGGGGTAAGTGACGCCACCTAATATTTTAAAGAACATCTGTCACTAGGAGGATAGTAATTCTGTCGTAAGTCTTAGCAGGTCATTGACAAGCGACAGGCTGCATGTATACGCACCTCCCAGTGCCAGGCTGCAGAGCTCACGGTTTGTTTGTCGCTCCCCCAGGCAGGGTGACAGCCTCTCGTCCATTGAGAATGCCGTTAAGTACAACCCCATGTACGAAAGCGATACGACTGGCTACAGCCACTACTACCGCAGGTACCCTCAGCTAACATCCTACAGTTCCACCAGCGCAGACACGTCCACCGACTACAGCAGTGAAGAGATAAGGCACATTTATGAAAACAGTGAGCTTACAAAGGAGGTAAGTGACATGGCTTTTATACTGGCAGAGATGTACAATAGCTAAATAAGTCACAACTATGGCTGCTGCAACTACATCGGAGGAGAGAGAAAGGCCTTCTTGACCTGCTTGCTATTAAGCGTATGGAAAGGAATGGGTGTGCTTGGAGGAGTAATGAATTTCACATGATAACAGAGCTGACTGCCTAAGTAGCTGCATGAGGACTGGAGTGGTTTGCTTTAGTGCTAGACATAGTCTTTAGCTTTTAATGCCAACTACCACATGTAAGACAGTTGCAGTGAGATGGTGAAAATCCAGAGCCTCCAGGCCTTTAATACAGAGGTTTTGAAGTTTAGATCTTTCTGACCTGTGAGATGGATCATATCGTTCTCCTTCCTTGTTGTGTACATGGTATCCAGCGTTCACTCTAGCAGGCTGAGGAGAAGGGATTTACATCCACGAGCTAACCGCAAATCCTTAAGCGATGGTGAGAGGTGTGAATCCAGCTTGGGTGTAGGGAAAAGTATCTGTGAGAGAGAAATGGTTTTGGTAAAGCCTTTTAAATGCCACATTCCCTCCAAGCCCTGGTTTTGATTTAACAGCTAAGTACTACTGGCCTCCAAAAAATGAAGTGCTTCGCTTTTAAAAATAGCATAAAGAATTTTAGTTCTGGGCTGCCCCATTTCGAGATCTTATTGAAATAGCAAAGCATATGAGTTTCATTTTCCAAGAAAAAGAATTCAGCTATTTCAGGAGTATTCTAATTTCTGTTATGTACCTAAATTTATCTTCCTTGTATTCTAGGAAATTCAGGACAGAATTCGAATTATAGAGCTCTACGCTAAAGACCGTCAGTTTGCAGAGTTCGTTAGGCAGCATCAAATGTGAGTAAAATATCTTGTCTGGCTAATTCCTTTAATGTTTTCTCATGAAGCCTTCACTACATCGCTATATTCTTCAGTATGAAGGGTCTAGAAATGCTAGGGCACTAGAAGTTAAGATTTCAGCATTATTGCTGAAGAGGTTTGACCCTTCTAGAGCACTTAAAATAATCACCGTCAAAAGTAGGTATCCCCAGCAGCTACGTTCAAAGTACTGAAGAATTCCAAAGTTAATGGGTGTCAGAGGAGCGCTGACGGACATCAATTAGGCCCTTCAAGTACAAATAGAACCTTCTTACCTCTTTTTAGCATCGTTAATATTACCTGGTGTTAAATTTAAATAAAAATTTTAAAAGCATACTAATTGATCTTCCATGCTCAAGACTTGGCAGCTAACCAAAAACTAGCAGGCCACTAGCACAATACTGTCTGATATTGCGGAGACGTTATCAGAATAAAAAGCTTACAGTTCCAAACAGTTAGTCAAGCTGAGCTGTGTGCTTTGATGCAAGTTAAGCATGGAAAAGGCTATTGCAGAATTGAACTGGTTTCTCACTGTAGCAAACAGCAAATTACAGATAGCTCTGTTAGTTTGAAAGATACTGCAGTACAATTCCTTGGGATCAGATGAAAATTAACTGCAGTAGCAAAACCCTTGTGTTCCAAGATCACCAACTCCACTTCTTTTAATTGAAAATAACTGCAGTTCACATTTTTCCATGTCAGTTGTTCATTTTTTCATCTTGAGACAGATCAGCTTCTAAATTTTCCACAGCTGGAAAATAGAAAGGGCTGCCTCACATGAGCCTTGAATCCAAAGTTTGAAAGAGACTAACTTAATCATTGCTTCTCTGTTTTTCATTTCAGGAAGCTGCTTTAAGAAAAAAAAAAAAAGGAATCAGTAGAAAGCATGTGGGAGATAAAGACTACCTTGTTGCCATAGCAATGGGCTCAGATGTAACTGCAAAGTTACTTATAGTCTTAACATTGCATGGATGGATACAGATGTTTTCTAAATGACTGGCTGAAATGTACAGATGTCTGTTTATCTCAATTACCTCCGGCTTTTCTGCGTAAAGTGACATTTTAAAGAGGTGATCCGAAGTGGCAGAGGTTATGAAAGTTCATTTTCTTTAACTCTGAAATGGACAATGTGAGTTTGTATACCAATGCAAAACAAACAAACAAAAACAAAACAAAACAAAAAAAACAACAAACATACAAAAAAAAAGAGAAGATACATGCACAAACTAAAAATAAAATGCACCCTTACAATTCCTGTCTGGCATTTATCCCCTTCACTGGAGCCTACTGTAGCAATGGTACAGGTATAAAGCAGTAGTGGGAAGAGCTCTTTAGTTTGCACATGAATGGTTTGTAGGAGAGAACCGTGATGATAAAATGGTGTCAGCATTATTGTAAAGCATTCCTGTTATAAATACAACCCTAACCTCACTGCAGAGGCTGTTATTTTCTATGGCTGCCTGCTTTAACTTTTGTCAGCTGGCATTAGCAAAACAGAACCCAGTACTGGAAGGCTCTCCCCAAACACTAAGCATCACCGCTGACGTTCAGTCACCACATCTGGTGCCTGAGCAAGGCAGAGCTGTAATTCTGCAGCATCGTGTTGTTAAGTCGAGATAGTTGGCTCTCCAGCTGCTCCTGACAGAGACACAAGCTGGGGCACAAAAGGGCTTCCATTATAACAATATTCTGTAAAGGTTAAGTGACTAACATAGAATTTTGTTGTACATAGACAATTTGTTGTTAATATGAGTTGTTTATCTGTTATTTATTTCCCTGACAGCTTATTTTCAGAGTGCACTTAATTGTTGAAATAGGAAGATTAATAGTTTAACGACGAAATGCTAGTGGCATTGGTGCCCATCTTTTTAAAAATTGTATTTAGTGTTTACTCCACGTTGAATTCAGCCAACTAATAGTTAAATTTTCTTTACTGAACTGGGCAATAGCCTGCGGTGGGCTGTGTTTCAAAATCAGGCTGTGGTATTTAAATGGATGCATATTTGGTAGATGGCAATTTTTTTTATTGGGAAAAACAAACAAGCAAAAAACCCCAGCTCTGGTAATCTCAGCTTCATGGCAGTCAGGGTAGAATTTCTCCAGCAGGAGCAGCCAGCCTCAAACATTTAAAAATAGCTGAACCGAGAGGGGTTGCGTGTCCTGAGGTACAGAAACTGAATTTTATCTTGAAGTTAAGACAAGAGTTTTGACTGCATGTTAAGGTATGTGGGACCTCTGCTCAGTCACCAAATCTGTTGTTAAGGCACTAACATTGCAGTCAGGATTAAGGCACAAAGAGTCTCAAATCAGCCTCTACCTACAAAGAAGGCCAAGGTAACTGTTATCTTTACCAAGATAATTATTTGTAGTTCTCAGCCCATGTGTGCCAACAGCCAAATGATACTTATTAAAATTCAACAATAGTGAGACTTACTTACTTGTCTATAGGCCGCATATCTAAACCAGTAAAGATTTCAGTGTGATTCCTCTTCCTCTTCTGGAGAGCCTCGCTGGATCATTTGCATGGTGTCTTCTTGCCTTGAGTAGCAGGCATGGTCATCAGAGCCATGAATCTGTCAAACAAATGCGTACATAAATCACTGTAAGTCCAAATAACACCAGACAGCTGAAAGCAGTACAGTGCAGCTTCATGTTGTTGGGATGTGATGTTATCAGGCAGAGCTTACCTTGTGCTGTGTGACCCTGGGCTCTTAGAGCAGCGCAGCGCTGGTCCGGACTTCGTAAGGCACAGCCCCACTCTTGCAGGGACATGGGTGAGCCGTCCTGGGACACTGAGGCCTCGTGGTCACCACCACTGCACAGCGCGGGGAGGTGCCAGGCTTGGGGTTCGCTTCTGTGCAGCTGGGCTGTCAGTCCCGGGGAGGTTCTGCACTGCCTCTGCTAAGCTGGGTACGGCAGCTGGGACCAGGCACCTGCTCCAAGGTATTCAGGTATTTGCTGGGCACAAGCTGAGGAGATTATCGGTTATGCTGAGCACAAGGCATTTTGTTGTATATACAGTGTATTGTTCCTTTTTGTGTGTATACATATAAACATAATGCTATCTTATTTTCACTACAATAAAAATACAATTTCCAAAATATTTTTTTCCTAGAAAATTCACGTAGAGACTATTTGATTTGAAGAAATCTATCTTAGGCACAGACACATGAATTTAGTATCAGAAACGGTTTTTTTTTGTTGTTTTTTTTTAATGAATTGGGTTGAGCTGTTGAACTCATTTTTAGCACGTGCCAAGTGTAGGTCTTTATCACTTGCATGGTTATATCCTGAAAATTCATGCTGGAAAGCATGCAACTGAGTGCTTTGATTTCTATTAATGCTCTTTGCCCATTTTGAGGCTCTAATCAAAGAATCAAAATGTGCTGTTACTTTGGTGATCTTGATGACTTAAAAAACCTGACCCCTCCTCCAAATGGCTTCACATAAACTTAGAACATGGCAAGAAGGACTTACTGAAAAACCTCTAAATATCCTAATAAAAATCAGAACAGGCTCTCGTATATACATCTACCAGTACTTGTTAATAGTCAAGATGCAGTTTTTCACTTGCTTCAAGTAAAAAGCACAGCTTTGAATGATGGATTAATTTGATAACACCTACAAAAGCAGTTACTGTTTGCTGAACACTGACAGGTCTAATTGCTTGCCACCCCCAGGCTTGAAAAAGATGAAAATGAGGCCCTGAAAGACACTGTCAGCTGCCCCTTTAACAGAGACTCTCAGACACATAGCAACAGATTTTGGACCACACTGCTCTGTACTGCAAAAACCACTGGGTACAATTCAGCCTTTAACAATTTAGACTTTAACTCACGTTCCTGGTCAGAGCTGCTGGAATCAGTCCTTGATATAAGGCAGCAGAGGGAGCATGGGACAGCTCTTCCACATGGGGTCTGTGGACAGCAGGGATGCCACGGTGCTACAGCTCCAGAGCAGGGACAGATACCGCATCCTGCAAAAACGGTCAGCAATGCCAATTTGTATCCGTAAGCACTCTAGGACAGACCCAAACTGACTTTGCACAGCATATGAAATCCAACAGAGCATTATTGCCATTTAAACATTAATAGTTACGCCCAGCAGTTTCATGGTACTTTTTCTACTCCAAATGTCCTATAACCCCAGCAGCATTGCTCTCTTATCTTTTCACTACTTGATGCTGGTTGAGAACAGAAGCCTTATTATGTTCTACGTAATATCCATGTATTTGCTTTGGTTTCTCAAATGAAAAAAAAATAAAAATAAATCAACAAATCCAAAGCTACTTCTGGGCCAGGAAAGGATTTTTTTTTTTTCATCTGTCAGCCCAAGCTGGGAAATTTTGTTTTGCCACATTCAACACTAGTTGGCTCCCCTGCTCCAGATTATTAATGGCCCCAGGAATTTTAGTTCAGTTCCTGTCCTCTTAGACTCCCCCCTGCTGCGCCTCACCCTCCTTGCTGGCTCACCCATGACACTTTGCAGGTGGAAACACCTTCAGCAGGCAGGCAGCTCTGGCTGGAGAATGCCAGCAGGCTGCAGGACTCAAAGTAACAGCTCACCTGAGGTGCTACGGTTGTTTAGGAGACAGCTCTAGAGCAGTTCAAAAGGTGTGCTCTTCGTTGAGATCTGTCTTCGTGTTGCATTGAAAACACAGGAAAACCCTCTTTCAGAATGAAAAATGCCCACAGTAGTGGAATTTTGTTGTACACACGCCAATTGATTTTTTAAATCAATTCTACTGTTAGCACATCTAATGACTATTTTAACGTATTTATTAAAGATAAAAGTTGCAGTCAGCTACAGTTAAAGCCTTCCCCTTTTTTTTTTCTTTTTTCGGGAGATCCCCTCACCAGGTCTCATTTACACAACCCAAACAACAAATACAAAATACAATCTGTCTTGAATCATAGAAGGCTGAAATGTTAGCCAAAAGTCTTATATTAAACACAAATCAGAGTTAGTGTTAACTGCAGTTGTGATTGCATCTCCACAGCTGATTACCAGATGGGGAAACTATGCCTTTCTGGAAGGGCTGACCTAGTTTGAACAAAACTGAAAGCAGCAACAACAATGGATACGGCCATACATCAAGACTTTATGTGGGCATGTGACTGGTTGAAAGAGGGCAAGAGAAGGAGCAGTCTCTTAGTAGAGAGTATACAAATAGTCCCCAGACTGAAAGACCTCCACCCACTCTGGGGAGAGAGCTCGAAGGGAATTTACTCACCTCCACCTAAAAGAGGATTATGCAGTGATTAAGTGATCTCACATACCAGAGAAGAAGGGGAATGCAAAACACTTCAAGTAGCAGCGCAGGGTTCCAGTCTCCTAGCCTGAGATACAGGTAACTGCTGGCTGTGCTTTGCCCTTCACAGTTCCAGTCATCTGCTTGGTTAGGGAGCGGCTGCTGTTCCCTTCCTAATCTCCAGAGTGGAGTATTAGAGGTCTTTGATCTGCAAAAATACATAATGCACAATGTGTGTTGTTTCTTAAAGTTCTGGTTAAAACCAACAAAACCACCACCGCCACCCCACCTTCCCACAACTACTTTTTTAGGGTTTGCTTTCCATCAGCTCCTCTTAAGCATGGATGGAAACCCACAACCAGCCCTGGTAGCAATGCAGCGTGGTGCTAGAGAGCTCCTCTCTCCCCACCACACCAGCATCTGTAATTTCAGCTCATGCTTGCCCACGTTACAGACAGCAAACCAACAACCCAGCCCACAGTGAAATACCTTCCCAGGGCTTGCAGTGAATGCGACTGTGAGCCTCACACATGCAGAGACTGACTTTTCAGAAGAGCCCGATCTCCTGCGTTAAGCACACAGCTCCTGATGGGAGCTGTCATGGCTAATGCCAACACCGAATACACTGAGCTGACTGAAGGCAGAATCAGGGGACACATGACTTTGAGCAGGCTGATGTTCAGTGGTTTGGGGCCATCTCTTAAGACACCACATGACTTCACTGACTTTTTAGAAAGGCGAACCACAGAAGAGCATTGCACTTACCTGCCAAGAAAAATGAAGTTCGTGGTAAGGCATTCGAAGTAGAGAACCAGTCCACAGTTTTCAGGCAGCACAAACCAGTCTCCAAAAAGGGATGGTTTGGCTTGGAAAGAAGGAAGAAAGAAGGGTTAGGTGCTATGCAGTAAATTAAGGTTATTATTTTAACTTGTTTTCTATACATGAAGAAAAGAATCATCCCATAATTGCTATAGTTTGATACCCATTCCAGTCAATAAGCTGCTCCTGGCTACGTATACGTAATATTGATTTGCAGAGGGGAGGGAAGAAACCTGTGCAGCCTGCAGCTGCCACATCCAGCGATAAGCAGGAAGGAAGGATGAACCACCAAACGTGCATCTGGCAAAGGAGCTTAACTGGACAAGGCCAAAATTTTACGTCTGAACTATCGGTGAGGGGCATGCACAACTGAGTACAGCAGAAGTTCTGCAGTTTCACTGCTCAGCACCTATTTAAGAACTGTCTCGTATCAAGTGCCCTCAGCAGTCTGCTAACAGACTTGTAAGCCATCAGCTGTTCCTCTCCAGATGCAGCATTGCAAACAGTGTTCCACGTCATGATCTAAAAACCTGATGAGCTATGCTGACCGGTATGTTCCATAAACATATAACAAAACTTGCCGTTGTTGAGTTATTTGTGTGCAAAGAGCAGATGATTTTATAAAATGAAAAACTTGAGCTGGCAGATCATGGGGAAGGGGGAAAACACCCACAAGAAAACACACAAAAGAATAGAAGAGATTCATTCCTGTGATATAGGAAGCCAGAGATGTGAATTGTCCAACCCCACTCAGCCTCCGTATGAATCTCTCATGAACGTTTTTCAAAACAGCTCCAGTCTCTAGAAGGATGTTGTCCACAGGGTTGCAAACAGCCCTCATTCTGCTCTGGGAAATGGGAACCCTCAAATCTAGCCAGTCTAAGACCAGTCAGCAAATGGAGGACACATTTGAGGACCAAATTTGAAAACCAAGAAGTATTTATCCAGTTTTAAATGTCAGACCACACCTAGAAAACTACATGCAATTCATTCTGAAAAACAGAGTTGATACAGCAAAATACAATTACCTGCTCGGATGGGATTCTCTAAGACCAACTGTCTCACACAGCTGGAGTTATTTGCTCGTTTCAGGACTTCTGCTGCCTACACAGCACTTGCTTCAACACCTTGCTGTTGAGAGGTTTCTTCCCCCTAGTTAGTGGGAAAAAATGGCACCGGGCTTCAGCTTGGAGAGGCCTGATCTAGAACTTGGTTCTAATGAAAGAAGTGCTCAACCCAGCCCACTTGCAACAGTGGTACTTACTGCTCTACATCTGTGTCCACTGGACCTTGCTTCAGGATGCTTCTGAGAGGGCGGGAGGAAGGGACGGAAGAATGGAAGAAAACCAGACAGAAGACGAAGCTTGGCTACATCTGGGTCAGCAACTGCAAATCAGAAACAAAAGCTTAAGTGAAACTGCAGCCTTAGGCACACTACAGCAGAAAGCAAAACAGCCCTGCTCACTCCCCTGTCCCCCAAATCCACCCCTGCTTTCTTTTAAAGACAATTTCTAGGGATAGGAGAAATGCCAGATCTGTTTTCACAACAGCAGTGACAGGAGCACAATTCCTCCAACTTCAGAAGAAGCCTGCAGGGACATTTGCACTGGAGAACACAAGGTGCTCTAGGAAACACTCATTTCAACTCTGTTTGGCATGTGCACTGAAACATCTGCTCTGGTTTTCCACACTCAGAGCACGGTAAAACCAGAGTTAACAATCTAACCTCTGAAATGAACTATGGAATGAACAAGAGCCAAGCCAAAGAATACCTTCAAACTGGGGGAGGGAGGGCTGAGGGGAAGAGCACTCAAGTTCCTTGCTGGTGCCAAAAGTCACAATTTGAAATCTCTCTACTTTTCCACATTTTTTCCACTAAGATGTGGAGAAAAAGAAAACACTTCATTTTTTTTTCTCTTTCCGTTATTACAGGCTGTCCTCTAATTTCCATAATGAGCTTTTCTATTTTTCTTGCTCCTTATTCATAATTACGCAATACTCAGACACTTACTGCCCAACTCCAACCCTGCATGCCACTATCTCAAAACTTTTATTAGTAGCAGCTTCCAGATGCCACTCTGAATTCAAGCTTGCTTGATTCAGAGTCTAAGAACAGAGTATCTTCCTATCAGTCCAGTCACATCTTCATCTTTGATTTTTCTTTAATAAAATATTACAAGAGCTTTTTCCAAAGCAATGCAGCAAAGGATCTCACTAAGACACAGGGCAGATTTATCGACAGCTATCTGAGATGCTGGATGTACAAAGCCCTTCTTGTTTGCATTCCAGTTCAATGGCAAGCCCACAGTCTGCACATCTATACCTACTAATGTGGGGCAGAGATGCTACATTTCCTCCGCGGTTATGGTACCAAAGGGTGACCAACTTAGCCACGTATATAGGCTTATTCTGCATCCCAAGAAGCAACATATCGGCCTACTGTAGTTACAAGGTTTCTGGCTGACCTCCAACTGACTAAATCTCATCTGCAGCTGCCCTCAAAATACTGTATGGACATTTGTGGTTCTCCTCAACACCACCAGGAAAGCCAGATGCAACCACAGGCTGCCAAGCAACTGTCAGCTCAGCCAAGTTACTGCACCACATGCGGACCACAGACAACACTATAACAAAAGGGGAGACTTTGCTTAGTTGGGACTCAGGCCAGTAGTGACAAGAGACCAAGGTCCTGTGTGAGGTACCACAGACTGAAGTTCAGTGAAGGCAACTTTGTTGTCTTGTTTAAGCTATTGTACACAGGCTGTATGGCCACTCAGGCTGCTTCCAGCACTGAGCCAGGCTGCAGCTCTAGGCCTGTTGCAGGGGAGCACACAGGACAACACAAGGGATGGCTCCACTGCCTTGATTGGTGACAAAGCTGTAGAAAAACAGGCCGGCTGCAGCAAGTACTGGGCAACTGCTGGCCTGGAAGGGACTGGCATCCTGCAGGAGCGGGCAGCAGCCTGCTACTCTGCACCCTGAGTGACAGGGACTGTCCCCTGTGTACTCCCTCCTGTGAGCAGGGAGGCCAAGTCCTGGTCCCACAGCCACCAAGCCGGCAGCCCAGCTGTGCTGAGGCCGTTCTCCAGGCGGGGAAGGCTGGGAGGGCGCTGGGCACTGCTCACTGCCAGGGACGGGAAGCAGCAGCTACCAAGATGACTCCTTGCAGTGTCTCCAGAGCAGACAGCTGCACAGAGACCGGTAACTGTTCTTTTGTGGCAGAGGGCTGCTGAGAACTTTAGGCACTTACCCTACACACTGGTTCCATGAGTGACTGCTCTGCAGAAGACATCAGCGACTGGTATGGTCTTTGCTTCCTAAAGAAAGGATGAATTCAAAGTGTCAACATAAGAGGCAAGAAAAAAAAAAAGAGCTTAAATTATTTCTTTAAATCAGCCTGCAATATTTAAACCTACCATTTTTAACAATCACATTGTCAACTCAGATACTAAAACACTTGTGGAAAAACCTGCTGCAAGGTGTTTCAGAAGAACTGAGAGCTTCTAGTTCCATTTCTTTCCTAATATATTGCAATAGCTTATCAGTAAATAGCAGCTGAAATATTCTGTAGAAGACGGAGCTGTTCATCCAAACAGCCTATATTTAAGCACTAGTATTTGCACCTACCAGCACAACATCTGTATTAAATCACATTAAATATGTTTCCTCCTCATCATCATCCAACTGTGCACGCTTCAGTCCTGTTCTAGAGGCATCATGTTGCTATCAGGGTGCTTTCTGCGACCATCTGGCTGATATCCCCCTGTGGACACCTACTAGCCTGAAGAACATCCAGCCATTGAATCTCTGAGTGTCCTACAGCTCCAGAGGTATAGTAGGTACAGTCTCAAAACCTCACGGTGTAGGTAAACTCTCTTGATGCTGATCTTTTGCTTATTATCTGCCTTCAAAACTGCTGCCCACCCAAGCAGTCAGCAGGGTCCAATCTTCAGTCTCCTCCCTGTATCACAAGTCAGCCCTGCTCCCAGAACCTCAGAGCGGTCTAATCCCAGGCTGGTAGGTTCTCGTCAGCAGTGACAGTAAGCAATGGCCATCGTTCACAATAAAGCAGGGTTTGTACTATTAATGAGATAGCATCCATCAGAACACCTATCACGTCCCAAATCATAAAGCTCACTTGCAGTTTGCCTCTCTGCCAAGGCTGCCAGTGACAGTCCTTACACCCACTGGAGGCTGGACCACCAACTCATTTCACATAAGCCCCAACTGACTGTCCGAGGGCATTTAATGTTCCGCTTGGCACCGAATCTCAGGAACACTCACATAAAAAGAACCCAAACCAAATACTCCACGTTACACTTCATCTGAACGTTATCCACATAAATAAGCGCAGCCAGTAATGAAAGAGAGATGTCAACACTACAAGGCGCTGAAAATTATTTTAGGAATAATGAATGCTTCGGGGATTAACAGTACCATATGGTACCTTTCACCTCCAACTTACTGGTACAAATCCAGTTAGAGCAGTGTGGATAAAAACCTTTACCATCTGGTGACTTATTACTTTATGGAAAATAAACAGGTGTTTGTGTCTCACACACCAAATCCATCGTAACTGGAAGTCTCGGTGTCTTTGTCAGTAGAGAGATCAAAGAGGGCCAGAACACTCCTCTGTCTCCCCCAGTACAGCTGGTCCATTGACGCAAGAAGTGAGGACAGCTGAGCACAGTATACTACTACCACCCACTATCAGAAACTAAAACATGATCTACTGTATTTCCAGCAATGACCTTTTTCAGGGAACAGGAGGATTTGTGGCTTTCAAACCGAAATCTTGTCTATTCACCTTCCTGAAGCAACAGGCATAACAATATTCTCTCTCCCTCCAAGCTTTATCTTGCTTGGGTTCTTAGACTGTCACTGCTACGACAGCACTGCTATAAAATATTTCAGTTAGCAGCCCTCACATCAGCCTTGACAAAGAAGCCTGAAGTAACTGGCACCCACACCTCAGTGAGTCCATTTGAGCACGAATCATCTTTCTTATTCAAGAGCACTGTCAGAGTTGGAGTTACCTGGTTGGTTTATAAATTTGCTCTCCCGTGCTCCAATTTCTCCCTGCTACTTTGGAGATTTTTTCTATTATGTGAAAACTGTAAGCATCAACTGTTAGTTCTGAACTTAATAGCAACAGACACAGATATCCCCTGAGCTTCCTCTTCTCAATTTATTTGAGAATCACTTTTTGTACAGCAGAATTTACTGTCTGATTAATACATCCTATTTTTGTTAGTGGCATATGGGAGCTTCTCTGAATAGCTTGAGATTGCAAGAGTCAGAAGACAATGCGTTTGCCTTCTTTGAAGCTCTATTTTTATCCTGGAGCAAGCAGGGCTTTTTTGGCCAAGGCTGAATGCAGCTACTCTCACATCAGGTGATGACTGAGAGCACAAATCACATCAGAGAAATCTCTTAAGTTTCCTTGGTAAATCTGCACCTGTTGTTTTGTAGCCTCTTAATTGAAAAAAAAAAAAAATCAACAGTAAGTATTCTTAATTTCATTACCCTGTGTACACTTTGAACACTGCAGATCAAAGGCATGGCAATCCTGGCCAAAGCCTTTCTATTATTCCTCTTTTGACTCTTTTACGAGCATGATTAACATGTGTCAGATAAGACAAAGCTAGGAAATAACTGAGAGAGCTTTGTTAAACCAAAAATCTGCCAGAAATATCATCCTACAGATCGTATTTTTTCTCATTGTTCACCAACCATGCTTGCTCGCTGGTCTGACAATGTAGCCTACCTGTGCCTAGGTGGACTGTCCAGCAAGGCTCCACAGGGAAATCTCTCATCCATCTTCTCTTCTGTGCTTTCCCAGGTACCTTTGAATTCGTATCCGTGCTCCTCCGAATACATACCAGTGCTTCATTTTAGTCACTAAACATCCAGGGCCAAAGCTGGCCCTGCACAAAGGAGAACAGCTTGCATTATTTCACAAACATAAGGCAAGACTGCTTAATTTGAGCCTTACCTTCAGACATCTTCTTTGTCATTCCTAACAACTTGCCTGTTTCTTGTCAAAACGTATGGCTTCTCTTCTTCAGTTGTGCACTAATCTGGCCTTCCTACCCAGAAAAAAAAGAAAACAAGAAATTGCCATCCCCTTGACACATGATAAAATGTAATTACTAGTTGGCCAAAACTAGACTGATACCCGAAAAAGAGAAACTTCCAGCTCCTCTGGGACCGTGCATCTAAGGAGCCAGAGAAATGCCCTTACAACCCATGGGAGTTCCATCAGTGGTCCCACCACGCAGTGCAAAGATCCCTGAAGTAAATGCTTAGAAGCCTTGTGGTCCATGCAGGAAAGCACATTGTAACCATGGATGCAGTAACATTCTTCTGGGCAAACATAAACCAAGATCAGACCCAGATCCAGATCATTTGTTTTACCTTTGTAGTGAAACAAAAGGAAAAATGTCTCTATCTTTGTAATCAGAGAGATCCAGATGCTAGCTTTTTGTATCTTCACTTTCAGAGAAAGACTCAGTCTGTGGAACTGCCCATGCAATAGAAGTGCCACCAGCAAAGCTATGGTGGGGCTTGCAGACAAAACAGATCACTCAAGCATCCAGTATTCACAGCACTGGGAGCTTTGGGTAACAGAAGCCCCATCCCCCAGGCTGCTAACCCAACCAAAAAGCGCTGCTCGGCCTTCTCTCCCTGTGCCCACTTGGGCACTCCTGCTGCTGCCCACGGCATCACCACAGGTTACACTGAGCTAGGTGCTCAGCTGCAGCAGGGGGCCTAAGCCAGACAAAAAACATGGCCCTAAGAAATATTTTAGCTATATCGTATATCGTAACAGTTTGTTTTGTACCTGCCTGGCAGACCACAATGCTTATGCTATTACCTGTATGACCATTACTACTATTTAGCAATGTGTTTCTTCAGTATTTTACAGTATTGACTTCCAGCCCTCTAGTTGGGATTGCTACCAATACCTTGAGCTATCAAAATAGCTGAGGAAATCAATCAGACTCCAAAACCCAGTGTTCTCCTTTTCTGCAGAGAAACAGGAAAGTGGGAGAAAGGAAAATACTTTCACACACGTGTTTGCACACAACTTGTGGCTAGGACATCCTCTTTCTCAGTTATTGAGGTCAAAGTATGAAGAACTGCAGAAGCCTTTCATTAATAACTCAAAAATATGGATACAAGTCTGCCTAGACTTTATGTGTACAGTTGATCCTTTTAGCTCAGTCTCCAGGTATGGGGAAGAGGGTGAAATAAAAACTGCAGATTTTTTTTTCCAGTAACACACAACTGCCAGCCAACCAGCTAACTGCAGACTTCAGTGCTGTCAGATGTACTAGACAACACTCAAAAAAAAAAAAAAAAAAAAAAAAAGAGGGAAGCTGATAGTATATTCTCTGTTTCTTAGCCGTCATTTTCCCTGCTTCAGTTTCTGTTTTAGCTTCTGATTCTTTGTTCCCTCCTTTAATTTTCTCAACTTCTAGCTTCATTCCTTACATTACAAGCATAGTTTGTCATTTTCTCTCTTCATAAAACAGGACCTGACTAAATCCTGTACACTGAATGTACCTAATGGAATTTTCTCATGTCCCACCTCAGGTGTCTTACTTTACATACGGCTGTGTCCCCTTACATCTAGCTGCCTTTCATTGATTGCATTGTTGCAGCCCAAGTTCAACAGCCTGAACTAATTAGTGAAGAGGAGGACTGAAAGGTGGCCAGCTTGCTATATATCTGTAATAGGAGAAGCTGGCTGAAACCGGGGGCGTCTTCATCTTGCATACAAAGGCGTTTAGCAAGATCCAGTGACCAGATGGTGAACTTAACACAAACAACAAATGAGAAGCAGTTTTCCTGCATTTAATCACGCATTGGTTCTGGAGGGGTTGCTCGGATCCCGGACTCACTCCCACTTGGAGTGCTCAAACCCAGATACTTCCCCCTGCCCTTTCTAAAAAGGGACACCTGAATTTAGCCTCCAAGGGGAAAAAAAGCAGTGGCCACTCGTGAAGGCAGCTGGCAGCAGAGCCTTTTGGCACAAGCAAGTGTACTTCATTCTTGTCCTCATTTGCACCTCTGATGCAGCTGGCTGCACAGAACTAACAAGCTGCTTTAGCCTTCACTGCCTGTCCTCAGCTGCTTTTGAGCAATTCTGGCTTACGTTCTTCACACACTTACCATGATATTGCCGAGCTGCAGGTACAGAAACACTTGTATAAAACTGAGTTTACAGAGCATAAACGTCTCTGTAATACCTGTACAAAACCTTAACTTTGTACACACACAGCACTATTGCAGCCAGCAAGTTTGCACCATCCTGTTCTCTGAAATGGAAAAGCGAACAAGGACTAAAAGGGACAAAGCTTCCGAAAGCTAGTGTATGCACACACACACATTATGTTGAAAGTTTCCCCTGGGAAGCTGCTCTTGAAGGCCTTGATGTCCACCAGTGCTGGTCACTCTTTAAGCGATGCCTCCTAGAAGCACAAGATCAGGCGATTCCTAAATACCGCAAGTCAGGCAGGCGGGGCAGGAGGCCGGCGTGGCTGACCAGGAACATTCTGATGGAGATTAGGCGGAAACAGAGAGTGTTTCGCTACTGGAAGGAGGGCCGGGTGACATGGAAAGAATACAGGGATGCTGTTCGTGTTTGTAGGGAGAAAATTCGTGTGGCTAAAGCACACCTAGAGTTGAAGCTGGCCGTGTCTGTGAGAGAAAATAAAAAGGTTTTTTTTTAGATATGTGAATGGAAAAAGGAGAACTAAAGAATACATAGGGCCGCTCCTTGATAGGGAAGGTCTCCTCACAGACAATGACATAGGCAAAGCAGAGACGCTTAACGCCTTCTTTGCCTCTGTCTTCAATGCCGATGATGGGCTTCGGGACCCAGGGTGCCCTGAGCTGGAGGATCGGGACGGTGGGGATGACAAACTCCCAACCGACCCTGAACGTGTGCGGGATTTGCTACTCCACCTGGATCCCTACAAGTCCATGGGTCCGGATGGGATTCATCCCCGGGTGCTGAAAGAGCTGGCGGACGTCATCGCGGAACCTCTCTCAATTATTTTTCAACGATCCTGGGAGTCTGGAGAGGTCCCGGTAGACTGGAAGCTGGCAAATGTTGTGCCGATTTTCAAGAAGGGTCAGAAAGAAGACCCTAGCAATTACAGGCCTGTCAGTCTCACATCAGTGCCTGGTAAAATCATGGAGAAGATGGTTCTCGAACTTATTGAGGCGCACCTGGGGGACAAAGCAGTCATTGGTCCCAGCCAGCATGGGTTTGTGAAGGGTAGGTCCTGCCTAACTAACCTGATTTCCTTTTATGATAAGATCACCCGTATGGTGGACCAAGGGAAACCAGCTGATGTGATTTTTTTGGACTTCAGCAAGGCTTTTGACACGGTTTCCCATAGGATCCTACTGGACAAAATGTCCACCATACAGCTAAATAAAAACATCATACGATGGGTGAGCAATTGGCTAACGGGCAGGGCCCAAAGCGTTATGGTGAATGGGGCTGCGTCAGGCTGGCGGGCGGTCACCAGTGGGGTCCCTCAAGGCTCCATTTTAGGGCCGGTACTTTTCAATATTTTTATAAACGATCTGGATGTAGGAATAGAAGGTATTTTGAGCAAGTTTGCCGATGACACCAAACTTGGAGGAGTTGTGGACTCGAATGAGGGTGGAAAGGCCTTGCAGAGGGATCTGGATAGGTTGGAGAGCTGGGCGATCACCAACCGCATGAAGTTCAATAAGAGCAAGTGCCGGGTCCTGCACCTGGGACGGGGAAACCCTGGCTGCACGTACAGACTGGGCGATGAGACGCTGGAGAGCAGCCTAGAAGAGAGGGATCTGGGGGTCGTGGTAGACAGCAAGTTGAATATGAGCCGGCAGTGTGCCCTGGCAGCCAGGAGGGCCAACCGTGTCCTGGGGTGCATCAAGCACTGGCATCACTAGTAGGTCGAGGGAGGTGATTGTCCCGCTCTACTCTGCGCTGGTGCGGCCTCACCTCGAGTACTGTGTGCAGTTCTGGGCACCACAGTATAAAAAGGACATGAAACTGTTGGAGAGTGTCCAGAGGAGGGCTACGAAGATGGTGAAAGGCCTGGAGGGGAAGACGTACGAGGAACGGCTGAGGGCACTGGGCCTGTTCAGCCTGGAGAAGAAGAGGCTGAGGGGAGACCTCATCGCAGTCTACAACTTCCTCGTAAGGGGGTGTCGAGAGGCAGGAGACCTTTTCTCCATTAACACCTAGCGACAGGACCCGCGGGAACGGGGTTAAGCTGAAGGCAGGGGAAGTTTAGGCTTGACATCAGGAGGAAGTTCTTCACAGAGAGAGTGGTTGCACACTGGAATAGGCTCCCCAGGGAAGTGGTCACTGCACCGAGCCTGACTGAATTTAAGAAGAGATTGGACTGTGCGCTTAGTCACATGGTCTGAACTTTTGGGTAGACCTGTGCGGTGTCAAGAGTTGGACTTGATGATCCTTAAGGGTCCCTTCCAACTCAGGATATTCTATGATTCTATGAAAGTTTCCCTAGTGGATTGGATTCTTACTTCTGTAAGGTCCAACGAGGCCCTCTTCTCCCCAAAATTTTACCTACTCACATGCCTCAAATGCAGTTCACATGAAGCATTCACAAAGAAATTGATCATGTTTTAGTTGGTCTTTTATTGAGTTCTGTATCCTAACCTGATTCTATCTTTTTTTCAGATATTCTTCAAGCCTTTTATATACAACATGGCCAAAAACAAGCTCAGATTATTCTTCTTTAGTGATACCATGGTTATGACACTGACCACAGCATCTTTGTATCCCTTTCTCCTCTCTAGCCTGCGCTTGATGTTTCTTTCTCCCTGTATTTCTAGAATCTCTCCTTATCAGTGTGGCCATTTTTCGTTATGGTCCTTAATGCTACTGACTATGACAGCCAAAGTCACCACTGGCCTTTCTATACTCACCTCCTCAGGACTGTTCAGCACGGTACTGACAAGGTAATTACCCTACCTGGTAACCATCTTGCCCACAGCTGCCTGGGGAGGTATCCTGGTCCCCTTTCCAATCAGCTCTTTGAACCACTTTTAATCATGATTCCTCGCTGCACCCCTGCAAACAGACATCAGTGGTATTGCCAAATATTCACTTGCTCAGCTGCAAATTGAAGAAATAAGAACTTGAGAGTTGCTGCTAACTTGAAAGAGAACAAAAAAGCAAAAAACGCCACACACACACACAACACCACACTTGACCAGAACCCAAGAATCCCATTGAGAAAATAAGAAATGGAAGTTTAACTTCTTCATAATAACATGGAAAACTCTATCCCTTCCACAGTTATGTGTGTATATACCTCCCCCCCACAATTCTCAGATTCTGAATTTAACTCTGATATTGTACATTTGGTTTTCATAATCATGATAAATTACTGACATTTAAAAACAAACAAAGCCCACAATGCTTTTGTAATTAGGTGGGAAGTTTTGGGATACAGCCCTAGTTCTGTCACAGGCTTTCTAGGTTATCCTGGTCAAGTTACTAAGCGAAGAAGTTTCTAAACATGTGTCAGCCTGAAGTACTTTCACCATGACAGTCAACACCGATTCTTCACCACTACAATCAACAGGAGTACGGGGCTACAAGTATTCATGACGGGACAATCAATTAAGATTGGCATGCCTGTTTCCTGACCTATTAATTCTGCTCCTCTAATAATTAAACAGGGATAACATTAGTGCCTCTTCTGGGTGCTGAAAAGCAGAACTAAGCACTTCAGGAAGGTTCACACAGAAGTTGTACAACTGAATTTCAATGAACTAGCAAAATTAAAACTCAGCAAAACTCAACAGAGCTGGCCAATGATAAACATAAAACAAAGTAGAGAAACACCTTAAGCCTTCGTTGTGGAGTACAAATAAAGATTACGAAAGATCCTGTGTCAGCTACCAGGCATGTATTACATCTAGAAAATTCTCCACAATTTATTTTGTTCACCTACATATTTAGGTACTTCAACTTGTGTCTCAGTAACCATTGTTACCTTGTACCAAGCTACAACTAATAATTGCCTTTAAAAACTGCATGCTGATCTACCTATAAGGCAATGCCAGCAAAAAAGCTTATTAAAAAGAATAAAGGAGAAAATCTGGCCAAACTTCTTGGCAGTTTTCATTTATCCTTTAAGAACAGTCAGGAGAGCAGATGGTATACCATTCTTGTGTAGCTTCTGAGTAAAGAGAGCTGATCCTTTTACTTAAGAGTCTTATCTCTGGTCAGTCCTCTGTTTGGGAAATGGCACATAGCAAGGTTTCTCCTTGTTACAAGAACGCTTTCCTGACAGGCCTGGAAAAATTTAAGCTTTCCTGTCAGTCAGATGAGCCCCTTTATCCCATCTGGCGACAAACCTTGGATAAAAATAGACTGCCATCTGACTAAGCAACTGCGAGACTGAAAGACACATAAGCTTGAATGCAACAGATCTGTATATTAGTTGATCAGCTGATGCCTTTACAGCAACCCCTTATGGCTGCTGGAAAAACATGTGAGACTTCTTTCAACAGTGCACTTTTTGACAAAACTAAACAAAAGAAAACAAGCATCTGTGTTTTTTGTTTGTTTGTTTGTTTTGGAGTAGACATACTACAGCTTCCCTGTTTTAGAGATGGCTTCTTCTATGTAGAAGGTCCCATGCTATTTTCTTTTCACCAATCCTGTTTCTCTCTCCACTTTCACTTTTTGGGATAGAAGAAAAAGATAAGACTCAAAAGCAAACATACTTCAGATGACCTAAAAGATACCTTTGTAACGACTGAGGTAACACAAAGGAGTCTAACATACAGGAAGGACCACTGTTGGCTATTGGGAAGGTAACAGGACACACACAGATCAGTCTGTATTTGTGACAGTAAAATATTTCACGGTGCCCTAACAGTATTATGAGCATCAGGTTTTAGACAGATATTTATTCTGTCTCGTGTAAGTTCAAAAATAAAACAAATCACTGAAATAAGCTAAAAAGAGAGTCAAATTCAAAGTGAAAAAACCTCCTCATTTCAGATCGAAACATGCTTTATCAGTTTGGTCTTTTGAATTGGCTAACCCGAAAGAAGCGAGAGAAACTCTGCTAACATGAAGTTTGAATCTCTTCTTGTTACTTTAGGTTGAATAAAAATTTGTGGTAGCTCAGGATTCCCTGAGTTTATAACTACCAAATGCTAGCAATTTTTAAGTGTAATCTTTGAGGTTTTTTTTAAATGTATGTATACAGAGCACAACTCACAAAGTTATGCTTTGTTATCTGAACTCTGCGTTTTGGATTTGGGATACCAGAAAAGGAGTATCCCAGTTATTTTCTCTCAAGAATCACATTTTGTTGCCTAGATGAGGAGAACCTGCGAAGAGCAGAAACGTTCATTAAAAAAAAAGGAAGGGACACTCAGGTCACAGCACAAATGGGAGCTTCCTTTTTC